CATGCATGGTACTTCATCCACAGGAAGTATATGGTAATCATATATGAGATGGAACAATCTCGGAGCCCAGATACAGAGTCCAGGCTGCATAAACTGAGATCAGCACCATACTTATCACATGGGGTAGGCTGTGGTCCACAGAGTTATTGGAAGAGCCTAAGAAGAATCCCAAGTCAAAAATCAAATAAACCTATGACAGTGAGAGCTTAGTAACTTCAAATACACCCAAGCCTATGCCTCAGGGCCAACATGCACCTCAAGGAGAACTGTCAATGTAGCTCTGCAGGGTCACTCGAGGCCAGTTCACAAGGGACAGGCAGGGCCTGGAGCTGCTGGGCAGAGGGGAAATAGGCAAGCCATCCCTGTGTACTGCACCAGTGAGGGCAGCCTGGCAACCCAGGACATACCGTGCATTGGGATGACCCACCGAAAGTCAGGCAAGGCTAGCCTCGGGGCTGAGGACTGAAGTCTCAGATGCTAGGCAAGAGGCAGAGGGGCTAGGCAAGAGGAATCTGGTTGATGAAAATCTGCTTGAAAAAAGCAAAGCCCAAGCTGGAGGGAAGACGAGGGGAAAGGCCAGACTACCAGCAAGACTGCTTAAGAGAGAACCATGTGGGAGATGCAGACCCACAGCCAGCCGAGGGCAAACAAGAGGGAACAGAGAGTCCTGTGGCCCAGCAGTCACTCCACCATGCTTACAATGAGTCCTAGCAGATAGTGAGGCCAGGGTTTCAGAAACAGCTCTGTTTCCAAGTCAGCTTAGCTCAGGCACAGAGAGAGCTGCGGCACAGACAGGCCTACCAGGCAGGCGGAGAAGCCAGGCCACCAGCCGCAGGCTGCCTTCACCACACCCAGCACTGTCCTGTCTCCTAAAGTGACCCAGCAAGAGCCCAGAGAGGACTTCCAGCTGATCTAATGTCTAGTGTGTGACCTTGGCCACAGCAATGAACTGCGAAGTGTTCCCTCCACTGTGCCAAGACGGATTAAGTCATTTTATCGGCAGAATTCTTTTAAAAGGTAAGAGTCCTTGTGGAGTGAGGAAACAAACCAATTATCCTCTTGCATCTTGGACATTCATACTTTGTTTTGGGAGACCTAAGGGAACTCTGAGATATAATCACAAGATTTCGGGTATTTTTGTTGTTGTTCTGAGGAACGGAAGTTAGAAGTGTAGAGAGTGAGCTACAACTCAGTTTTTCTCTAACACTTATGTTCAGCATATATACAAAGGCAGACAGCTAAAACCACACACACACATACACACTCACACACACACACACAAACACACACACACAAACATACACACACATACACACACACAAGCATACACACACACTCACTCACTCACACACACTAACATACACACACACATATACCACACACACACACAAACACACACACAAACATACACACACACAAAATGTCTGGCGCAGCTCAAAATGTAGAAATGAAACACAGAAATTAAATACACAAAGAAGGGGAAAACCGAGACTCTCCCAGAGGAATACAGCAGAAAACTGTAGTAAAATAAAGTCAGTTCATTCTTGAGGAAGGACCAAGAGCTTGGCTAAGAGGAAGCCACTCCTTACCATTTCTTCCCAAGACTTCCCAAGGGCAGGGCACCGAACCCACCCTATGAATAATTACAACCAATATGAGGAAAAGTAAGAAAAGGTTACTGTGTGCCCACCTCACGGACACCCTATTTTCTCAGAACCAACATACCTTTACAAAAATAAAAGTGAGCTACAACAAAGCCCACTCACGCTGTTCCGACTCCATGCTAGAAACCCTGAGGTCCCAGAAAACAGGCCTCTTTTTCTTTCCCCTTACAGGAGCATTAAGTTAGAAGGCAATTCAGTTTTGATGCCAGTCCAAGGCTTTAAGACCCTCTTATCCTCTCCCAAAAAGACCCACACAAGCTTCCAATTCACTAAGTCTGAATTTAATTTTAAAACCATATTTTCATGAAAGTAAACACTTAAAAATATTTAAAGTCTTAAATAACAGAAAGCAATTAAGTATTAACTCCTTTAAAGTATATTGCTTTTACACACACACACACACACAATTTTTAGGTATACACATTTACCACCAGACCATACAGCATAATAGATTTTCAACAATCAATATGGATTTTTAAAGTGATTCATCTGAGCTAGAAAACTGCAAATGAGGACAAGAATGAATGGCAAACCTCAAAACCATGGTGTATTAGTAAGCATTAGGAATGACAGCTTCTCAAAGCCAATTGTAGTGTCACTTTTTTTCTTATAAAGAGTTTATTAGGGGTTTGCTTACAGTTCTAGAGGGTTAGAGCCCAAGACCTTCGCTGCGAGAAGCCTGGCAGCAGACAGGCAGGCATGGCACTGGAAAAGTGACCACAGTAGCTGAGAGCTCACCTATCTGTAAGCACCAGTCAAAGAGAGAGCTAACCCCAATGGACTGTCATTCCCTTAAAGCAAATATAAGGTGGGTGCTAACTGTCTCTGCACCTTCCATATCTTTTCAGTATTACTTAAAATAGTCAATATGTAACCACAGCAATATTTTAAAGTGAGTTTATATAACTGTCACTGAGAAATCAATAAACCCAACCCCCAACAACAGACCTTTTTTTCACTAGCAGGGAAAAAACAAAAACAAAAAACAATGCACATCACTCATTTGTTCTAGAGCCAACCCAGCTCTCCACTCGACCTTTCCACAGAGTCAACAATCTTCAGGAAACCTAGTTTTCTAAGCTTGTATACAGAAATGTTCTATTTTCTTCTCGCCACACACTGCCTTATTTCACTTCCTTTTTAAAGGCTACTTTTCAGGGCTAGAGAGAGGGCCCGGGGGTTAAAGCACCGGCTTCTCTTGCAAAGGACCCAGTTTTCACCCACACGGCAGCTCTCAGCCAACTGACTCCAGCTCTGAGGGATCTGGTGCCCCTCTTCCCTCCATAGGGACCAGGCTCACACAGTGCCCATCCACACACACAGGTAAAACACTCCTACACACAAAATAAATAGATACATGTAAGAAGAACTTTCCCCTCAGCTCCTCTCTCACTTTTATAATTTGATGAAGATATCTTAATTCTCTCTTGCTCTCTGAATAAATTGGGAGAAATGAAAATGAGAGTCACATTTCTAGGACAATTCATGACAAAACTATTTATGTAACCCAAAATAATCACATAATTAAATGTTTTGAGAGGGAAAGGCTTTTGGTTGTTATGTCATTTCCAACTACATGTAGCCAGGAAGACCTTCTAAGTCAGTGGTTCTCAACCTCTGGGTCATGATCCCTTTGGACGGCACATATCCTACATATCAAGTATCTACATTACTATTCATAGCAGTAGCAAAATTGAAGTTATGAAGTAGCAACAAAATAATTTTATGATTGGGGGATCACCACAGCATGAGGAGCTGTGTTAAAGGGTGGAAGCGTTAGGGAGGTTGAGAACCAATGCTCTTAGATACCAGAAAAGCACAAATCATTTTTTTACACCTCCCCAACTCTATGTTATATACTCTGCTTTAAATGAAGTGGTAGATATTTACCCTGGTTTTGTTCAAACACATGGAATATGTCATTTTCTAAAGACAACCCACGCTGAAAATTCTAGAGGCCCTCAAAAGCCAGCGTTTTCACCATTTCAAGAAGACATGTAATTTGGACAAGTTAGGAATAAAGATTTTTTAGGTTTCCCCCTAAATGTTTACCAGGTCTTTCTAAATTAACTGGATGTCCCATACTGGTCAGATATTCAGATACATGTCACCAATGAAAAAAAGAATCAATTGTGATTACTTAGTACAGGTGGCCTCAAAATCATTCAAAATATGAGACTCATGGTGCAAAAAATAATAATAAAAGTAATTTATTAGTAGTATTTGGTTTCTTTAACCAGTTACAGTCATGTCTCACTATGTAGCCCTGACTGTCCTGAAACTCGCTCTGTAGACCAGGCTGGCTTCAAACTCACAGAGATCCGCCTGCCTCTGTCTCCTGAGAGCTGAGACTAAAGACATGCACTCTGTTACTGTCATTAAAAAAAAAAAAAAAAAGTAACAATAAATTCTGAAGACCACTGGCTTGGTCCTGTATCTTTATCAAAAATTCAGAAAATGTTGAATTCTTAACCCTGGAAACATGCCGACTCAGTTTGGATCAGCTGACTTCGTCTCCTCTCCATTATCTTGTTTTAAAAAAAGAGAAAGCCTTTCTAGTTCAGCCCTCTATTTATTCCCTGATCTTTGTAAACAGCAGTATTTGTTAGAGGGCTTAAAGGGACAACTCTGAACACACAGCTCCTCCTCACGGGCAGCACCAAACTATTTCTCTTAAAACCACAACTTCTAATTCTCCTTGAAAAGCAAAATGAGATTCTCCCCCGAAGTACTGCCCTTACAAAATAAAATGCCCCAGGTGTCTGAACGAAGCTGAACTTTAAAGGGCCATTTTAAACCAATAGCTTGGGGGGGGGGGGGCTGAAAGCAGGCTTCAGAATAATCCTCCAGGCCTGACAGGCTGGCTGAAGGAACAGGTGCAGGGCAAGCCTTCCTAGAGGCTGTCTCCCATGATCTGACCTTCTCCAGCTGGCAGCTGGGCACCCCACAAATCAGTTATCAGTAGGCCAAAGCCTGCTTTCCCATCTGCACTTTACAAACGGCTCCTGTTGCCAAAGGGCTCAGATTGACCTGGCTGTCCGCTGAGAACATGCCTCACAAGCCACTTGCCAGGTTTCCCTGGAAACATGTCTGCATCGGCCTCTGAGCTCCCTCCTCAACCTCCCAGCCTCACGGCTCGCCTTCCCGGCCTCCCTTGAGCTTCCTAACACCACCTCCTCATGTCTGCCCCTCTAATGCCACGCGCTTCCAGTCCAAACTCCTGGCCCAAGTTCATGAGCCACTGACCCCTGGCCCTTAAAACGCCTAACTTTCAATCCAAAGGGCACAGTTGCGACAGTTCCGGAGCTGTTTTGAAGTGATCTCTTTGAGGCCTACCTGTAGGCAGCTCAGTTGTGGCTTCATCTCTTGCCTTCTCCAGCTTCTCTCTTACCCAGGGAAATTCCTGGAGGGAGTCTAAGAAGGTATCAAATGCTCTGGGGCCCCTGGAAGGCAGGATATCCAACAGCAGCATTGTTTTCCGGAGGCCTGTGGTTTGGGCTTTGATTTCTTGAACATGGTTTTCTGTCAAAATCCCTTCCTGGTAGAGGTACTGCAGGACCAGTCCCTCCACCAAGACCTCCGCACCCAGCTCCAGACGCAGAGAGCGGAGGACTTGCTTGTCTCTGGCATCCATTTCTCCCTGGAAAGAAACAAAATCAGCACTGGGGTCACAGGAATGCTGATAGTGTTGCAGCAACATCATTGTCAGACATTCACATGTTAAGAGAGGGCCAAGCCACATGGCTGCTAAGCCGCATCAAGTCCATTTCAAACACTTCCCAGCACACGAACAACACTAATCATGAAGCCATTTCTCTCTGCTTTCCACATAACGGGGTCCTATTTCAACTCCCTTTTCACTAAGAGAGCCAACAGAAAACAGATCTGGGACCTTATTTAAAATGCAATCCCTGGAAATTATAGAACACGTTTAATTTTAGCGTGCTGGAGAATACAGGACTTCAATTTAACATTACTTTCATCATTCAATCCAGCACCCACACTGCAGTACCTGCCAAAATGACCAGGGGCATTTATAGACCCTGACCGGGCAAGAGGGGTAGGGGAGTGGGGGCGGGGTGGGAAGGGCGATCTAGACATAAGAATGAGTTTAAGGCTCCTTCTTACAGACAAGACCAGCGCGTTCCGGAAAATAAGTATTTGGGTGCCTTTTTCACGGTCACAGGAAGGGCTGCCCTTCCAAGAACGCAGAACCTGGGTCACAGTACAGTGTGGGGCATTTAATGAGCGCAGGTGGCTGTGCGGTGGCGAGGGGCCGGCACGGGTGGCGGGCAGGCTTCCGGGCGCCCCGGGGCACAGGAGGGGGACCCCCGGTCCCAGCCTTCCTCGCAAGCCTCTGCAAGGTCCTGCGGTGCGGGCGAGGTGTCCACACGCCGCCGCGTGCTTCCACTTGGAACGTCTAAAAACTCCCCGTCTGGGCCGCTGAACGCTGCGTCGCACACGGGAAGCACTACCGGCGGTGTCCAGGGTGCGTGAGCCCGCCCGGCACCCGGCACCGCCGCCCAAAGCCTGGTCTAGCTCGGGGACCAGAGCAAACTGAGCCGGGAGAGCCGCGCAGGGGCGATGTCGCCACAGCGCGGGGACTTCGAGAGAAGATGGGTTCCTGCTACTTACGTCTGCGATCACGTATCTTAGGAAAAAAAAAAAAAACTACAACCGGAATCCAGACTGTTAGGGAACCTGAACCGAAAACACCATCTTTGTTGCAGGCACTAGCCCTAGACAGGAAGTGTTGTGGCCATCTTTGTTGAGGGAAAGGGCAGGAAGTGTGGTAGCCATCTTTGTTAAGGGCCCAAGAGATCAGGTTGAAGCTTTCTCCACCATGTTTGCTGTGGGTAAAAGAGAACCTCTCCTAGATTAAAAAAAAGTAATTTTAATAAAACAAGGGATTATCTTAGTGAAAGAATAAATGAATCGTTGACTCTTTTTTTTTTTGGTTTTTTCGAGACAGGGTTTCTCTGTGGCTTTGGAGGCTGTCCTGGAACTCACTTGGTAGTCCAGGCTGGACTCGAACTCACAGAGATCCACCTGCCTCTGCCTCCCGAGTGCTGGGATTAAAGGCGTGCGCCACCAACGCCCAGCTTGAATCGTGACTCTTAACACAAAATCTCCATGAGAGCCTTGCACATAATGGGTAGGTCAAAAGTTACTCTAGCAGCTAAGGCCTGCTTCAACTCCCAGTAAAAACCACACAATAATTCTGTAAACTCACAGAGATCCTCTTGCACAAATTAATTTTAAAACTTGGAGCAATTAATAAGCTTATCGATTAGTTTTTAATGTATTGGATGACATACAAAAAAAAAGATGTAACTGCTAATTTTTTATTATTATGTAAAATGTGTATGGCATGTGGGGTGTGTGTGTGTGTGTGTGTACAGGTCTCTATACAGGGCCAGAAGAGAGCATCAAATCCCCTGGATGTGGAGTCACAGGAAATTTGAGTTACCTGAAGTGGGTTCTAGGAACCAAACTCGGATCTTCTGCAAGAACAGTATGTGCTCTTAACAGCTGAGCCATCTCTCCTGCATCAACTCTTTTGTTGTTGTTTTGTTTTGTTTTGTTTTGTTTCGAAACAGGGTTTTTCTCTGTAGCCCTGGCTGTCCTGGGACTGATTCTGTAGAACAGGCTGACCTCAAACACAGAGAGATCCACCTGCCTCTGGCTCCTGAGTGCTGGGATTAAAAGTATGTGCCATCACAGCTAGCTTGCTAAAAACTTTTTGACAATAGGAAAAAAATACTTTACCAACACCTCTGTCTGGTTCAAGATGAAATATCTATAAACAAATCAGTGAACAGTTCTAAACCTCCCTCCTCAAAGCCTCCCAAATGTGTTTGCAGTTTACAGAGTTAATGTACTCCAGTGTTTGTATGCAGGCACTGGCCATCTTAGTGGCAATGTTTTTACCTAAGTAGTAGGAATTCTTTTAGCAATCAGTACTTGCAGTCTGTAGAATCAAGAAATTCAATTATGTCATCTAAAATCTCAGAGCCAATACAGATTAAAACCTAAATTCTAAACAAGTCCCTCTGATTTCATACTCTTTCCAATACACCATACAAACATGTATAGTGGACTCTCTTGTTCTAATGGCAGCCAAATATTATTAGTGAATCACCCAATTGCGACCTCCTACTCATGTTATTCTTGAGTTACAAAGAGGCTCCCTTATTATCCTTTGCTCTAGAACTGTTGTCCTTTAAAGGGGGGGGCAGATAAGTGTTAACAACAATTGCTATCTTCATCCAAATAAGTAAAAGGGATTTTTCAAAATAGCCAAGGATTCCTACCTTCATAGAGAGAAAAGGAGGCATAGTTTTCCCAGCAATAAACTTTGACAATTTTCAAATGCATAGGAAAAATAAATAGCACAATAAATGCTCACACTGTTTGGGTTGTTCCTTTGTTTTCGAGTTTAAGGCACTTTTTGGTGACTTGTAGTGTCTGGACCTACTTGAAATTTTCTAGGGACTACAAGGTAAGTTGATGACCCTGTCCAGGAGGTGGGGAGGCAACAGTAAGATGCATGAGGGTTCACAGAGAGAAGAAAACAGGGCAGGAGCAGCATAAGATTTAAGGCTGGTGTTGAAGGGCAGGGAATCCTATGGTAAACACTCTGAGGGACTGTAAGTTAAGGATCTGACTTAGATCTCCAGGATCACGCCCATGACCATCAAATCCCTCTTCCAATGGCAAATGTGGATTGCTCTCTGTGCTGCCTCCTAAGCAACCTGATTGGCTCAGACTGACTAGTGAATCACCATCCACCAACCTAGTGGAGGACAATTACCCAAGGTAGCATACAGTGGTTCTTCTCAGTAGCACATTATAGTCTCACTTATATAAATGTCCAAGGTCAGTGGCCTCTAAGGAAACAAATATCAGAATCAACATCACGGGTGGCTCCTCCACCACCCTAGCCAGTCCCACTCTGTCAGCTTGAATTGTGCTCCGTAGAGGACTGAGCACCTGTTACCCATATTTTCAGAAAGGAGAGATAGTCCCTTTTCCTCTTTTCCCCTCCTTTTATGTTTACTTATGTCAAGGTATACTCCTTGTGGATTTGGAGAGAGAGAGAGAGAGAGAGAGAGAGAGAGAGAGAGAGAGAGAGAGAGAGAGAGAGAGAGAGAGTACTTTTATGTCCTTCAATTTGATCCTTACTTTTGCAATATTCAAAAACAACAACTCAAAGAAGTTGGAGATTTGGGCTCTTCCTTTCATATATGTGGAAATAAAGCCACAGGGAGGAAAAAATAGATTGTTTTCTTTCTACTACACATGAAATAATCACAAAACTAGATCTTGAATTAGGTCACAGGAAACTGATAAATTCCAAATGTACAAAAGTACATACTTTCCCATTATACAATAAAATTCAAAATTTTTAACAGAAAGATAACATCTCATGAGTTTGGAAATTAAGTATGATAACTCTAAGTAGGGCATATACCTTTAATCCCAGCACTCTCAAGATAGGCACACAGACCTCTGTGAGCTCAAAGCCAGCTTGGTTTACACAGCAAGGCCAAAGAAGACTATATAGTGAGACCTTGTCTCAAAAGGAGAAGAAAAAGAGTAGGCAGGGATGAGGAAGAGAAGAAGAACCTTTAGCTTACTTTACTATATTAAGTACTAGAGATTGAACCTATGATATCACATATACTAGGAAAGTACCCTTCCACTGAGCCCTGTCTCCAACACCATTTTTGGTTTTCTGTTTTGCTTTTTTTTTTTTCCCCTACTGTTTATTTTGAGACAGTGTCTCAGGAAGTTGCCTAGGCTGACCTATAACTTGTGATTCAATGGCTTTAGCCTACCTAGTAGCTGAGATTACAGGTGAGTGCCACCATGCCTTGTCTTGTGAAATAATCCTTCTGTACACTGTGAATATGAATTACTCTCACTGTTTAATAAAAAGTTGACAGGCTGGTAGCCAGGCAGGAAAATCAAACTAAGGATGCTGGGATGAAGAAGGGAAGAGGCAGAGGAGATAACAGAGATGTAAAGGAACCAGAATGTGTAGAAAATGAAATAAACCATGAGCCACATGGCAGAGGGTAGATAAAAGATACAGGCCATTTAAAATGTAAGAGTTAGCTAATAACAAGCCTGAGCTATCGGTTGAGCATTTTTAGTTAATATAAGCTTCAGGGTACTTATCTGGGAACTTCTGGTTGGACAGAAACTTCCACTCACAGCCTTCTCCTTCTAAATTCTTGAATAAACACACACACACACACATTTAACAGAAAAAGAGAAATGAGAGAAAGAATAGAGACATGGAAGGAGTTAGGAAGCAGGGGTGGAGAGAGAAACTCAACAAGATGGGAGGATGCTACCTTAAAGAAGTGATCAAGGTGAAACATCACCTGTGAAATACAGGCAGAGTGTTTCATCAGGACCTCAAATAACCACACAGAGACATATTAATCATAAATGCTTGGCTGATAGCTTAGGCTTGCTACAACTTAAATGAGCCCACATGACTTACCTACCCTCTACCACATAGAGGCAGGTACCTTTTTCAGTACAGCATGCTCATCTTCTGCTTCCTCTGCACCTGCTGGCAGCTCTGCCTCCTTCTTCCCGGCATTCTCATAGTCTGGCTCTCCCACCTAACCTCTTTCTACCTAGCTATTGGTCAGTTCGCTTTTTATTAAGTCAATGGGAGCAAAACATCTTCACAGTGTAAAAGGATTATTTCACAGAATTTCCCCCTTTTGTCTAATTAAAAAGGAAGGTTTTTAATTTAGCATAGTAAAACTATATAACAAAAACAGTTATCAAGTAAGAATTACAGTTACAATATCCAGTCCATTCGTATTTGGAAAATTTAGAGAAAATATTATCTTTTTCATCTCTGAGAATCTAAAATTTTATACATAATTTATACATAAATATGGAAAAATATAGGTCTAACCATTTAGCCTTTAACTCCATCAAAGACCTCAGAAGAATGTAATATTATCTAAGACTGCCTGGACAGTCACTCAAAGTTCCTCTGTGATGTTGGGGCAACCATCTTTGGACTATTGGCCTAGTATATCTGACAGACATTTCTGAGAAGAAGGGAATTTTGAAGGACTCTCCTACCTTGTCTTGGCAAAGTTTGTACTTTCTTTTGTGTCCTGATGGTCCAGTTTGGACAGATACGGTCAGCAATTGATGCAAGGGAAGTTTCTTTGCTCAGTGGCTAGCTTTTGCTACAAAGAAAGCAAACTCCACATGGAGTTTCTTGGATGCCCATGATTTTCTCTGAAGTAAATCAGGAGCAAACATGTCTCACCACTGTGAAAAGCCTTGTGCTATTAAATCATCTTAAACTCCTCATTCTGTAGGTATTTGAAGTGCTTGAATATCCACTATCTATCTAAATATATCTGTTTAACTTTGAAAACATACCTAAGATGGCTACAGGTCTGATTATTATAGATAACTAACGACTAACCTGTATTTTTAATTATACATTACATTTTTAATGAGCTTCAAAAACACAATACTCCAAATAAGAGTAGAAAAATACATACAACAAAAATGACTTTAAATTTTTATCAATAAACCAAAATCCATACCAATGTA